AAGCCAGATGAAGAAAATTCGCCCAAAAATGAACCAACTCATGTGTAACTGCACTTTTGAACTTTTGAAAGGCACAAGTGCCATGGAACATATCTTTTGTATTTTGTGTCTACATTCCCCAACATTTAAGACATCTATTCACATATAGATGTTGCTGCATTTAGTAGTTGCTTAGTGGCATATATGCCACGCAAACTAAACTTTTGTGTTTGCCACTTATAGTACCTAGAATTCAAATCATCTATTTACATATAGATGCTCTTGAATTCTAATGTAAACTTAGTGTATTTTTGTATTGCTTACCTACTATTATGACTTTTTATACGCTCATGTTATGGATTTGAATTTTACACATATAATGGTTATGCTCTTAGTGTATTTAACTCTGCATAATTTTATATACATCAAATGTCTACCTAACTTGGGCCGGCTGTGCTGTGCACAGCCGTAGCCTTCTAGTATATATATATATATTAAACTTTACTACATCTAGCACTCAACCTTGAGTGGTGTGGTGATTGAGTTGCTTGTCATTCTTTCAAGAGGTCTCAAGATCAATCCCTAGAGACAACAATTTTTTTTATTTAATTTCTCGCAATATATTCAATGTATCGCGATAAATTCAATTTATCGCATATATATATAATATTTAGAGGGCATAACGGGGTTTTTGCTAAAAAACTAACACCGTTAATGGCCAGTTGAAAAAAGAGAACGTGTGCATCGCGTTGTTAAATATAAGGGGGTCTTGGTGCACTTTTTAAAACACAGTGGGGAAACGCGCACATTTCGTTAAACACCAAGGGGTTTGGTGCAATTTACCCGTGAAATTAATAATGTCATTTCAAAATGGATATGAATTATTGAAAAAGTACTCTAATTATGAAATTTTTACGGTTCATTAGATGTAATTTTTGTTTGTATGATACACAGACATGTTCCTAATTTTGCATAACTTACTCGGTTAATGATATGTATGAATTAATATGTTCACGAGCTAATATGATATAAGATTAATATACTACTGTTGTGTACAAATTATTCTTTTTACCGAGTACCGAATCGAAAGATTCGTTCCCCGGGTCGATCTCACGAGGAAGGCGGTTCGGAATTTAGTTCTGATATTGACAACACA